CTGAAATACAAATACTTTAGGCATTGCAAACTAAAAATTTCATTTACAATTCAGCCATCAATATTAAAAACGGCTAGCCTGGCTGTCTACCCGTACTTAAGTACGGCTAGACTGCCAGTCTAGCCGTAATTATCTTAGGCCCTAGGGTAGAGGGTGCATATTTCGACACCCTTTCTGGCAGGTCTGAGACTGCTGCTGTGTTCATTGGTCTGTGTAGTCGGATAAAATCAATTGAGCGGCGAGGTTGTCACCAGATGGTGGAGAAACCTCTGAGAAACTGTTTGTTGCATAAAACAAGTGAATGTGCCTGCCAAGTTGATTGTAACCCTCTCTTAAAGTGTGTGGGGTGCGTAATTCAAAATTTCGACACCCCTTGTTCTAATTCCGACACCCCTGTGAGGGGAACTTCGACACCGGTTGTTCCAATTACGACACCACTGTGGGGAAATGCGACACCCAAGGCCCGGACTGGCCCAGTGCTGTAGTTAGGCCTAGGCCTAGGCCTAGGCTAGGCCTAGGCTTGGGTCCAGGAGGTCGTGGGTTCGATCCTCGGCATTTCAGTATTAGCATTTCTTTTCTGCTTGACACACGGCATTAATTTCATTAAAGGAAAAGTAGTTGGTCTGTCGTTTGGCTAGTATACACTGACTGAGTGAGGCAAACATATTGCCCTGTCCTTTCACCTGATTGTGGTTTCGCTGCATCATCAAATCTCCACAATATTAGTATCACTACAATTATCATCATTATTAACATCACCATCAGCGACAGCAGCATCACTGACCTCAACATCAGTAACAGCTGCAACAACTGAATTAGTATTAGTTCATTACCATGATCATCACCAGCACCAGCATTGCCCTACCATCTTCATCATCACCATCACCATCATGTCATCATCTTTATCACCACCGCTACCACCAGCATCATCGTTACTAGGCCTATCACCCGCATCATCTTCTCCACCACCATAACTGTAGAGCCCAAGTTAGTGCCAGTTTAGTAAAATCATTGAACAAGAAACAAGGCGTAAATCATCAAAATTTATTACTCTGGAATTCAGTGCAACACATGCTGCCCTCGCTGAATTCCTATCATTAGGCTACCAGGTGCAAAAGAACCCTATAAAAGTATTAAAAGGAACAAAATAAAAATCAACAACAAAATGAAACAAAACAAACAAA